GAAGGGGACTCCACAACCTCCCTGGGCAGCCTGTTCCAGGGCTCTGTCACCCTCACCGTGAAGAAGTTTCTCCTCATATTTGAGTGGAACCTCTTCTGTTCCAACTTGTGCCCGTTGCCCCTCGTCCTCTCACTGGGAACCACTGAAAAGGGTCTGGTTCCCTCCTCCTTCAACCCGCCCTTGAGATACTTGTAGGCGTTGATAAGGTCTCCCCTCAGCCTTCTCTTCTCCAGACTAAAGAGTCCCAGCTCTTTCAGTCTCTCCTCATAAGGGAGATGCTCCAGTCCTTGAATCATCTTTGTTGCCCTTCGCTGGACTCTTTCCAGTAGTTCCCTGTCCCTCTTGAACTGGGGAGCCCAGAACTGGACGCAGTAGTCTAGTTGTGGCCTCACCAGTGCAGAGCAGAGGGGGAGAATGACTTCCCTTGACCTGCTGGCTACACTCTTCCCTATGCAACCCAAGATACCAAGATACCATTGGCCTTCCTGGCCGCCTTTCTTCTCACCTCGAATCGGGCCCAGTCCCAGGAGGTGTTGCCATGTGTTGGCCGCTGGAGGTGGCCAAACTGGATCTCGTAGGTGGCATTTGTGCTCCGGACCAGCAGGGGGAACTCCACCTTCAGGAACTTGTGAGCCTCCTTCCACTCAACCTAAAGGTGGGGAAATTTAGGTTAGATCTTAGGAAGAACTTCTTTGGTGTGAGGGTGGTGAGAGCCTGGCCCAGGTTGCCCAGAGAAGCTGTGGCTGCCCCATCCCTGGAGGGGTTCAAGGCCAGGTTGGAGGGGGCTTGGAGCAACCTGGGCTGGTGGGAGGTGTCCCTGCCCAGGGCAGGGGGTGGAAATGGATGGTCTTTAAGGTCCCTTCCAACCTGAATCATTCTACAGTTCTGTGATCACTACGGGGGGCTGACAGGCTGCACTCATCCTTCCCTGTGCCCAGCAGCCAGCTCGCAGCTGGACCAGGTACAACTAAATCACAGTAGAATCTGAACACAAATGAAGTTGGTGGGTCTCTCTGCCACCCTTGTCCCTCAGGACCCCCACCCTGGTGCTTGCCTTCCCCTAAGGCAGAGGAGGACGGGCAGTGGGGGGCTCCAGGGAAGGAAACAGGAAGGGGAACCTAATTGAGATGCAAAGTTCAGCTCCCCGGGGCCCTGCCCGCCCAGCACAGATGCCAAACCTGGGTCAGGAAGCGGAGGTAGGGACAGGTGGCATCCAGGATGATCTCCTGGGTTAAGGTGCTGCTTTTCCCAATCTGCAGAGAGAAGCTCGCGCTTCCCCGCAGGCCCCCGGCCAGGCTGATCTCCAGAGGCTTCAGCAGCGTTGTCACTGGTTTCCTGGAGAAAGGGTTAAAGGCAGAGCTGGTCTCAGCCTGGTAGATCCAAACCCCAATCCAGCCTCTCCCTCACAACAGAGTGGATGTTCTGTTGGAGCTTTTGTTACAGCAGGGGATGACGGGGAGGCAAGAAGCTCAGAGCAAAATCCAAGCACGCGCTGCTCCTCTACCTGGTTTCCAAGTGATAATCCATCACATCCCAGGCATCCCAGTAGAGGGGAACATCATCAAAGAGGGCAAACTGGTTGGCGTAGCAGCCCTCTGGGACTGACTCTCTGGAACAAAGTGGAACAGAGAAACAGCAGCATAAGAAGAACTGGCAGGAGGGCAAACTGGTTGGCGTAGCAGCCCTCTGGGACTGAC